ACCTCGTCACACTCCGCAAATTCCCAAAACTCAACACATCCCCAATCCTCCTCGCCCCTGTGAACAGCATACACAACCGATCAACCCCACATCCCCAACCCCCTGTCGGCGGCAGCCCCCACTGCAACGCCCGCAAATAACTCTCATCACCAACCTTCCCTCCCCCTTCCTTAGAACTAACACTACCACCTATCTCCATCCCCTGAACTCCAACCTGCACCTCAAACTTCCTCTTTTGCTCAAACGGCGAATTCTCCTCCTCGTACATATTCATCACCTCACGCGAGTCGATGAACAGCTCCGCCCGCGCAGCAACCGCCTGCCCACATTGCGGGTGTATGAATGATTTCGAGAGCGGCGAGAGGCATTCTGGATGGTTGATGATGAGGGTTGGCTCTTTGCACTGGGGCTCGAGGTAGATGGAGCTTAGGCGGTTGAGGAGGCGGGGGAGGGTGGGGTTGGAGGGGAGGGGCTGGTTGAGATGGTTGTTAAATAGCTCGTGGATTTGGGTCGCTGGGTTGTTGGTGGAGGTTGGTGTGAGGTTGGGGAGTTTGTGGGACATTGCTTGTTCGAGGGCCGGGATGAAGTCGAGACGGCGGAAGGGTGTTGTGAAGGGCGCTGGTGGCGGGGAGAGGGAGGATTGGATGGTTTGGTGGTGGGTGTGGATGTGTTGGGACAGCCCTGTTAGGAGGGATTCACTGGTGGAGATTAGTGTTTCGAGGTCCGCGTAGGCGTGGTAGAATTCGCAAGTTGTGAATTCGGGGTTGTGGGTATTGTCTAGGCCTATGAGGGGGCGAAGAGACGTTATATCCCAGTTAGGATTGCCAGAGATACATAATATCATTGGAAAGATAAAGAAACGTATATATGGATAACGACGTACCCTCATTCCGAAACGACGGGCCAATCTCAAACACCTTATCGAACCCGCCAACAACAAGGCGTTTAAGCCATAGCTCCGGTGCAATCCTTAGCGCCAGAGGTCTCTCCGGGAACTCAGTTGCGCATGTCTGAAACGGCCTGGCTACCGCACCGCCGGCGACAGAAGCAAGTATTGGGGTTTCCACCTCCATGAACGACCGATTGAAGAAGAAGTTGCGTATGTATTGGATGATGGCTGACCGGGTTCGAAGGATATCAACCGCTGTGGGGGAGGAGAGCAGCTGAACGTGTCTATCATACGGAGAAGTTTCTTGCTCTTTGACCCGCAGTGGGATGTCGTGTAGACATGGTGTGATGAGCTTGGGCAGTTCGGAGACGGTTACGGACAGTTCACCGCGGCCCGTTCGGTGAGGGTTTCCTATGACAGCTAGCTCCCGGCCAGTTCGTTAATATCAATGTGTTATGTTATATAGAAGATAAAAAATAGCAGAATTGAGGTGTAAGAGAACATACATAAAACATCTCCCCGCCTTAGCAGATGGTAAAACTGCTTAAACTTCTCCGGTGTCACGCCCATGGCATCCATATGCCGCTGATTGCACAGGATCTGCACCTTCCGGCCATTTTGCACGAGATCAAGGAATATCAACTTGCTCCCCGCACTCCGCGCAGACTGGATTCTGCCTAATCACCTAAAGTAAGCAATGACCGCATGCCCTTTCTGCTTCTTCAGATCAAATATATATATATATATATATATATATGTCATGCATGTCCTGCACATACCACAGATAACCACTTTGTCCTGCTCTGCGGTCTCGTTCGGTACTAGGGAGTTATATCTGGTGTGGAATTCGTCGCAGCTGATCGACCGTTTGTCAACTGACAGCCGGGGATATGGGTCTGGATAAACATCTTTAAGCTGTGCGATTCGATCTTTCCAGCACGGCTTAATCTCTGATTTCAGTTGGGTGGATGTATTGGCAGACGACCAACGGACTGAGCGAAACGCTTGTGTCGTTATTCTACATGACGACGGAACAGGGGTCTGTGATAGTGAGCACCGCGTGCATCTAAAATTTTGGTTTCGTTTACATGGTCAGTAATTGTCCTTCAGGACGGGAAGAAAAGAGTGGCATCCATGAAAGAAAGGCGATGTAAAATTTGCATTGATTAGTTTCAGAGAGTACGTTGTTCTGATTCATCTGCTTGGTAAAAAAAAAAAAAAAGGGACTCGATGATGAAATCCCCCAAGCATTATCTGCAGCGGTTCTGTAAATGTGCTGTCTCATCGTCGTAGATTAACTGGAGGTCGCCAACTACTGAGCGAGAGAGATCTACAAACATACCTTGAAAAAGACCTATCCAGGTTCACCTGGGACCCCCAGCGAGAGCAGGAAGTCCGCATGTGCTCAGCTGGAATGTTGCCTCAATTGGGAGGATCAATGGCTGGAGAGAAGGTAATTTGGGACATAAGGTGAATCTGTATGTGAATAGATATGCTTGCAGGAGGACATCGTAATTGGCAGTCAATATATTAATTATAATCTACTATTTCTCTCCAGCTCAACAGCTCCAAGTTTTTCTGCTGCTCCATCCCTACGCTAAACCCAATTGCGTAGTCATAGAGACTTCACCGAAGAGCTCCCCGGGCTTCATACGGCCTAACCACAACCAACAGAACAACCAAGCCTATATGCCACACGAGCATCCCCTTTCATTCCAAACTTAATTTTGGTTCGACACAAAAATCCAAATAGAACTTCTTACAAGAAAATCCTCCACCGGCGAATCCGCCGGACAATCCTCTTTCCTCCCGCAACCCATACCGTGACCTCATAAACCCCCAAACTTCAAGATGTCATTCCTATTCGGAGGCCAACCGAAGTTAACTTCGGAGGAGAGGATCAGCAGAGCTGAGATAGAGGTCGAGATGGTCACAGATATGATGACCCGGTGAGTTAGCAAAAGACACATCACACATAGAATACCCCAATTCACTCTCCATTTCTCTCCCCGTCCCGGAACACCAGCCGAGGCCGTTTACATACACATATATATACACAAAACGCAACATCCAGAACCCCCCAATATAAAGAAAAACACAACAATTGCTAACCCATCACCTCCTCCTCGCACCACCAGCCTCTCAAGCTCCTGCATGAAAAAATGCATACCGCCCGACTACCGCGAGGGGGACCTAAACAAGGGCGAATCCGTCTGCCTCGACCGCTGCGTCGCCAAGTTCTTCGAAGTCAACATGAAGGTGTCGGAGAGGATGCAGCAGATGCAGGGACAGGCTATGGGACAGCAGGGTGGTACAGGCAGTTCTGGATTCGGAATGTAATATATATATATATACCCAGTGAAAAGAAGGGACATGATATAATTGGGGGGGGTGGGAGGGAAAGTCAACTGGTTGGAGGGGTGGGAGGGACGGTATGCTTTCTTCCGTTTCTATGACGATGCGGGCGCGAGAGGTTTGGTCTGATGAATCGGATCTCATTTACTCGGCTCGACTCGCTGGGTTACTTACTAGGTATCAGCGCAACAGCCTTTTATGACTTGGATCATGAAGGATTTGACGTATTGGACGATGGATACTGGTGTTCTTGGCAGAGGGGACCTGTCAGGAGACCTGTAAGGAGTAAGGGGGAAAGGATTGTGTGGAAAACTGCTATGGTCCGTTACGAGCATCTTCCTTTGTCGCATCTTTGTGTCAATGTATTCATGTGTGAGGGTTGCCATCCATGGATATGGGGGTGGAGAGAGTGTCTTGGTTTCGCATCTTCTCTCTACGATACCACCGTTTACTGGGGTATTTTGCTTTTATCGGAACCAGCAGTTCATTATGTGCTGTTTATGTATTTTTATATAGGATATATATATTATCATGTCGGGACGGTCTTTTTGCCAAAAGCAGGGCCTTGCACAGATCGCATCTATCCACATCCTGGGGTCATGTAATTGCCGGTTGTGTGAAGTATATTCTCATGGTAAAACGTGTTGATTCGGTTCGCTTTCACTAAGTTATTAACTTCCATGCTATGCTACGTAACTATGTGTACATCAAACACCGAGTATATGATCACTTCTAAATGATATGGCTAATAGTACAGCAAAAAAAAAAAACCTAATTCCAAAAAGTACCTAAAAGGGGAAAACCAATATATACCCGCTCTACCCGCCTCCATGCAACAAATAACAAAGACAAATATTGAAAGAAAAATAATCCTCGCCTTCCGAATCTTCTGTCGACTTCTATCACTGTCCCCAAAACTCACGAGCCCAACTAATCCACGACTTCCTTGCCTTCCGCTTCTCATCCTTAACCAGGTCTCGAACCCTATTCTCAAGCCCAACAATATGTCTCTCAAAATCACTCACGCTGAGCTCCACATCCTCAATCCTCGACTGCAGCACGTTTATCTCATAATCAAGCTTCGCGCCGAGCAGCTCAACCTTCTTCGCCGCCTCCAAGAGCCCGGACCCCTCGACCGCAACTAAATCCGCAGTGCGCGTCCGGAGCATGCCGAAATCCTCGGCCTTTTCTTGGTAGGTGGAATTGAGCTCTTCCAGTCGCGCCTGAGCGCGGGCATCAATGTATTCTACAGTGCTAACCTGCTCCTCGACCCAAGGCGCGGTCTTGTCGCGCAAGTCGTGGATCTTGCAACCAAAGTGCCGCACGTCGGAGGCGAGGATGCCTTCTCGCAGCATCGCTGCGGCAGGGGTTGTTTCTTTTGCGGTAATGAGGGTTGGGTCCCAATCTGCAATGCTGTTCCAGACTAGAATGGTGTCTTCCACGACACTGAAGGATAGATGTCGGGGCCAGCGGGAATTGCGTTGGGGATTTGAACCTTTTGAAGGAAGTATGTCGAGGCTTCGTGGGCGTCGAAGAGGCAGGTCGAATGGTTTGGTGGCGCCTAGTAACTCTTCTGGTATCTCTTGGACTTTCTTGAGCGGAAGATTGCCGCCTCTTTCGGTGGATATAGCAGCCTCTTGGCCTTCGCTGAGTTGAAATTCACCCGCATCTGAATGTTCATCATTGGAAATGAGTTCATCGTGGTTCATGCGATGTTTGGGAGAGACAGAATCAGGGATAGGGCTTGGTTCTACTGGTAGTCGTTCGCGCAGAGTTTGGGCGGTATCGTCCTGATATTCCGGTCGTATTACTCCCTGAACATTTTCGTCTGCCAGTTTGGTAATTGGAAATCCGGTAGGGGATTCGACGTTTGCATGACCAGACAGGTCAGTTTCAAAATCAGGCCCTTCCCTAGATCGTTTGTGGTGATGAGATCGGAGACCAGGTAAGCCAACGGCATCCCGGAATCTACCAAATCCGGCACGGGCATCTGATACCTTTCCCGTGACTGTACGCTTAAGGGCACCCTTTAGTGGTTGTTCCTTGTCATCATAAATATGAATTTGGGAGTCAAGTAGTCTACCGGAATGCTCTGTTTCGAGACTTGGTCGTCCAGAGTTATACTCTGATGTAGTGTTGCTCCTTTTCCTACTAATCCACTTGTATCCGCCACGATCATCGTTCATAAAAACCATCGAGTCTTCACCAGAAACGTGACGAAAGATATCACTGCCTGTTTTGCGTGGCTTGCCATGCCATAGCCATTTTGACCGTTCTCCACTAACCAGCTGAACAAACCGGTCCATATCTATTGTTTCAACCTCCGATATCCCAGCTTTGTCACGCCCGCCAACAATACCCATCACCATTTCACCACCTTTGCCTCCCAGTTCAGCAACGGTGGATTTCACTGCCCGCGGTACATTCCAACCATCCCCGCTCGCAGCCTTAGCAGTAACACGGTGGAGTCGATCTAATGTTTGTCGATCAAGCCTGCGAGTCCCATCGAGTTTCTGGGACTTCTGAAAGCTTGCTATTCCCCGTTTTAAGGCAGCCACATCAAAAACGTCTTTGGGAACAGGAGCGCCATAGGTATTTAGGCGATTTCTCGCCCCCATCAACGTCCCAAGCAATGCGGAAACTGTGGTCGGACCTAGGATTCCATCGCTTGGCTCGATATTGAAGAAATCCGTTCCAGTATCAGTCCACCAATCATTTATGGCTTTCTCTGTCACATCACAGAGCAATCCATCCGCATACTCGGGGACCAACTTATCGAAAATCGTCAATGCAATCTGGCACTCTTTCACCAGTTCTAAGACTGCTGAGTAGAACGGCACACGCTCACTCGTCCTGTATAGCTGATAAAACTTGGCTTGTGTAGTAGCAGTTGGCTGCCTCAAGTTCATCCCAGCCCGTCCTGAACAACAAAGACGCTTCAGATTCTCGTTAACAATGAAATCATCCCTATGTCTCTTAACGTCGCCATCAGGGACGGGTATCACGGTCAATGCGGACGGAAAACTGCTGAGATTCGTTACCATCAAAATACCAAGTGGAGTTTCTCGTTTTCGGGCATGGAATTGTGAAATCGCATTGAAGTAAACCTTCAACCGAGGAGACCAGGCATTTTCGTCCGTAGGAACACTGAGAACCGCCACAACAGCAGAATGAGAAGGATCGCCCGTATATGTGTTGATAACAAACGTAGGATGTACCCTGGAGCACGCCCATTGCTCAACAATGTAAATTTCATAGCCCGTCAGGGTACGACGTCGATCCAGGACTACGGTAGAAGGATCCTCTTCCAGGTAACGGAAGGCCACAGGATCTGTAAATACAAGCCTTTGATGGTTGTATTTAGGGGAGGGGCCTTCTGCCACTTCGATACGATTGGGAGCTGTCGAATAGCCTCTACCATGGGGGGTTCTTATATCGAGACGGGGACTGGCGGTGCCTGACGCTGAGGGAAAGTTGCTCATGTCGCTGGGATAGGCCATGGCAGATGGAGAAAATAACGAGGTGTCTTTTCTGCAGTGCTCTTGCGGACAAATATCAATTTGCCCGTGGAGCGAGGATCAATTAAAGCACCTACTGCAGCAGCCAAACGGAGTATGCCCGCCAACGTCTTTGAGATGGCGGTAGAGGCCTGGACAGGGAAAAACACAGAAGCGAACAGTGAAAAGGGCCATCATCAGTTGGATGGAGGATATCCTAGCCTGGAAATAAAGGCAGGCATCCTCAAAGAACGAATGATATCAACAGTTGTGTATAGGA